TCAGCGCGCGTATTTTCTTAGGACTGTTTTCTAATTAGTTTGTTGAAATGTTCATGCTAACTTTTGTAGCTTCTGTAGCAGGCTTGGGTCTCTATCTGTTTATAATTCAGTCCTTGGTAAAGAACGATAGATATCTTTCCAAAATCGAGCTAATTGAATTGGCTGAATAATCAATTTATAAGAGCGATATGATTACGTTAGTGATGCACACGCATTCTTTGTTTTTTGTTTGATTGTTACTTTAGTGATTCGCGCTTTCTTTGTTTTTTGTTTGATTGTTACTTTAGTGATTCGCGCTTTCTTTGTTTTGTGTTTGATTGTCAGGGGTATCGAATGGTCTTTGCGAGCAGGCGAGCAGTGCGTTTATTTTTGCGAGCGCGAACAGTGATTAAATTTGTTTTGCGAGCAGCGAGCACTTTAGAAAATACATATGGCGAGCAGCGAGAACCTCGTAACTTTTGCAGTAACCGGAATCTCTTATTTGTTTTAAAAAAGGAAACGTTGCTTTACGCCAAGTAATCTGGCTGACACCACTCAAAAAGGTAGTAGGCACAAAACTAGGTAAAACATTAAGATCTTAGCGCTGTTCAACCAATCCCAGAACCTTACAGCCAATAATACCTTGTTACGTCACGTAGCTTCACGTGAGTCAGGCGCTCAAGGACATCTAAAAATTCCTAACCCAACCAGTAACCCAAAGCTGTGAACACACCACGAGAAGAAGCTAAAAGCTACCGGACTTTCAAGCATGATTCACGAAATGTGGAGCGATCGAGCACATTTTAACCAGAATCCGAGCATACGAGCGCTTGCAAAAATTTTGCGAGCACGAGCGAGCGAGCACTCATCTAATTTCTTGCGAGCAATTCGTGCAAAGGCCAAATTTTGCGAGCACTTTAAAATTGAATGGGACCATTCGATCCCCCTATTGTTAAATTAGTGATGCGCGCTTCCTTGTCTATTATATATCTACATAAGAGATACGCGCTCTCTTTGTTTCGTGTTTGGTTGTTACGTTAGTGATGCGCGCTCTCTTTGTTTTGTGTTTCATTGCATTAGTGATGCGCGTTCTCTTTGTTTTGTGTTCGATTTTTACATTAGTGATGCGGGCTTTCTTTATTTTGTGTTTGGTTGTTACGTTAGTGATGCGCACTTTCTTTGTTTTTTTGTTTGATTGTTCCTTTAGTAATGCTCGCTTTCTTTGTTTTGTGATTGATTGTTACGTTAGTGTTGCGTGCTTTTTTTTTTGTTTGATTGTTACGTTAGTAATGCGCGCTTTCTTTGTTTTGTGTTTGATTGTTCCTTTAGTAATGTTCGCTTTCTTTGTTTTGTGTTTGCTTGTTCCTTTGGTGATGCTCGCTTTCTTTGTTTTGTGTTTGATTGTTCCTTTAGTGATGAGCGCTTTCTTTGTTTTGTGTTTGTTTGTTACGTTAGTGATGCTTGCTTTCTTTGTTTTTTGTTTGGTTTTTACCTTAGTGATGCACGCTTTCTTTGATTTTTGTTTGGTTGTTACGTTAGTAATGCGCGCGTTCTTTGTTTGTGTTTGATTGTTCCTGTGATGCGCGCTTTCTGTGTTTCTTGTTTGGCTGTTACGTTAGCAATGCGCACTCTCTTTGTTTTGTGTTTGATTTTTACGTTAGTGATGCCCTGTTTCTCTGTTTTGTGTTTGATTTTCCCTTTAGTAATGCTTGCTTTCTATGTTTTTTGTCTGATTGTTGCGTTAGTGATGCGCGCTTTGCTTGTTTTGTGTTTGATTGTTATGTTGGTAACGCGAGATTTCTTTGTTTTTGTTTTATTTCTTCGTTTTTGCGTTTTGTTTTTCGTTGTGTCCGATTTAAGTGAATTATATCTTTAGTTGGAATGTCTCATTTCAGTACCTATTTTTTCCAGTTTCCGATGAAAAAGTACTTAGCATTGATAGAAGGGAAGCTAATTGATAAGAAAGACGATGCCTCTTATTCTCGGTGAGCACGTTTATTTGGTTCAATCGTATTAGCAATGGTGGTAGGTCCGATTGCAGTTCGTTTCGGTCTTTAATGATTGTAAAATAACTTTGTTGCAGAAGTCAGATTTGCCAATCACGAGTGTGATTGTAGTTGTCTTTAGCAAGGTAAACCCTCTCTCCAAAAGATTATGTGACCTTCTTAAACTCATTAATAATTCATCACGTTTAAACAAAGGAAATCATGACCGTGACGGTGTTTGGATATCTGATTTTAATTAGCATAGATTTTTACGATTTTCTTTCTCCATTTTCTCCTTCATTTAAGTTTTGATTGAGAAGATATATCAAGCACTCAAGACAGTGTTTGACCAAATTTCCAAACACCTTGAAGTTCGTCAAAAATACTCCGCTACGCGTCGTATTTTCAACTCTGTTCTCAGTGTTTGGAAATGTAGTCAAACACGGTCTTTCGTTTTTGATATTTTACATCTAATTAAAGAGATCGCAGAGGTGATGACTTCGAATCCCGTTCAAACCTGAATTGTTTTTTCTCAGGTGTAAGTTGTCTACATAGCTTCAGTTGTGTACATAACTGCAATGATCATTCACGTCTTTAAATTTTTCTCCGCAGTTCAAATTTAATATATCTTAGACATGTATTGACATACCGTGTTCTTGTCTTGTATACACACAGCGACTCATCCTTAAATCTTGGACGTTGACTATGCTAGTCTGTGATAATGTTTATTTTGTGTTTTATTTAGGGTTTTAGCTGGTGTTAGGCGCTTCACACTCGGGTTGATTTATCTGGCCTTGTACACCGTACTGCAGCCGAAATTTAAAGAGAGTTTTCTTATAACCGAAGAGTATGATGTAAGTTCCAAGACGCTGTGAAGAAGCTATGATCCGTTTCTTGGCGTTACGAGTTACCTTGGCAATAGTGTCACTTGTCATGAACACCCTTAATTTTAGCTTAAAGTAAATATAACTCGAAAACGGGTTTCGGTACCCCCATTTTTATTATTGAATTGTAATCAACACGACATGACTCAACGTTTAATTCAATGGTTTTAAAATTTGAGGTAGCTGTTTTGTGGCCACCTCAAATTTCCGAAATATAAAGTGGCTTTGAACACCTCACACAATTTTTCTAAAAATTAGCTAAAAGTTATATTTTAACATTCTAACTACAAATCGATAGTAAAAAGGGGGTTTATTGGACTCGTGTTTGAGTTGTAAACATTTAAAGTAAAAATTAAGCTTGTTTTTACGGGTTATTAAAGTAATCTTTGCGTCACGAAAATGACCGTAACGTTTTAGCCAATGTTTAGATTGGTTTTGTTGATATCTGCTGAAAAAGAGAGACTAAAATTAAAATTAAAGAGTGGCTAAAATTAAACTTGAAGCTAAAAGTAAGCTTGTTTTTAAGGGTTATTAAAGTAATGTTTTGCGTCACGAAAATGACCATAACATTTTAGCCAATGATTAGATAAGTTTTGTTGATATCAACTGAAAAAGAGTGGTAACATTGTTTCATCAAAGAAGATGCGCTGAAAACTGCTGGAAACTGTTGCAAGCCCCCTTAAATGCATCTAATTTTATGCAGAAATTTTGTTTCTTTTTATTCTTTCGGAAGAAAATTAACTCTTTTCCTGTTTATTTTCTCTTTCAGCACAAGTCGTTCTTTTATAAGCTCTGTTACGCCATTGGAACTACCAAAGCCAGTGTTATGAAGTACCAAGCAGTCTGGTTAATAGCTGTAAGTACTGCTGATAAATGAAATAATCAGTATCCATGGCAACCTTTGACATGAAATTGTTCGTTTGAATCAGCGAACGTGAGACAAGACCCTATTTGCAATCGCTCTAATTATTGAATTTATTCCATTGATATTTGTTCCATTCTCCACGAGAAGCAACACGCAGAAACAATCATCATAGGTAACAAAAACTTATGACCATTATCCCTCAAGCTAATGTTGACCGGCGCCAGTAACTAAATGAGGGAATGAATTCTATTTGTTATTAGCCCATTGCATTTTTGTTTACAAATTTCTGAATTTCATCACTCTGTAACTGTGGATAACAGTGAAAAATCTATACACCAGGCCATCCAAATATTGTCGTAACTGTAAGAGGGAGTTAGTTTCATTTGACTGTTTCTTAAACATGGAATTTCCTTGCTGATCTTTTGGTCGAGTCAAAGGAAAATGGCTTTAAAAGTGTTAATGTAG